ACCGCAATGAGATCACGGGCGAGTTGCGTTGGTTCCGGAACTTTCATCCAATCAGTCGCAGCCACCACACGATCATCAGACAGACACAGATAGGGTTGCTCCTCTTGGGGAAAGAAACTTGCAAGAATCAGAGCAACATTTAGGAAATAAGGGCTGCAGGTCCGACGTGCCTGCACACTTGCAAGAGACGCTTTATCAGCTGAAACAAAACAAGACTGTCGCACTCCAAGCGCTGCCGCCAGTGTCTGCAGGTTGAACATGTCGTTCTGCATTGGAGCAAGGCCCAGCGAACCCATTCGTGGACCAGCCCCAAATTTTCCTTGTGCCAAACTAGAGCGACGTCGATCAGCAATATTGCCAGCTTGCATGACTGCTGCAGTAAAAGAATCATTCGCCGAAGAAGCAAACCTAGTTGCCAAGTCATTTGGGCGAATGTCATACTCCTCCACATCACCAGCAACCAAGTCAACTGGATTAGTAGGTGTGCCCGCAGATGTACCATGAACAATTTGTTCTTGGAAAGCGCTCACTTTTTGCATGGCATCAAGGACGTCTTGTGGAACGGAAGGTGGGGAGGCCAATTGCCGCACCGGTGGAAGTGGAGCTTCTTTCGGTGGACTTGGAGTAACAACATTTGGAGCTGGAGCTGGGACTGTAGCGATGTTAGGTGTAGCCGTAACTGTTGTTGCAGTCGTGGCAAACACATTTGCGTAAGCATCCAAATCGCTATCAGGGTCCTCTTTTTCCACAAGAATGGCTGGAACAAAGACTGCTCGAGCTTTTACAGGGATCTCTTTTGGTTCAAATCGCTGATACCTATCAGGTAGCGTGTCGAAAGGCAAATCAGAAAGCCAAGTAGAAAATTCTGGCCAAGGCCACCCATCCTCCGGAGGACAGAGAACAGATAGGTACGCAAAGTGATCCGGCGTACCATGATACCCCAGTGCTGGCGGGTAGCATTGCCGAGCACGTTCCAACCATGCACCAACTTGACAGTGTTGCCTGATAGCCTGTCGATCTTCCACATCACAGGGGCCAAAGAGAGCACAATCCAGAGCCATCCCCATTATGTAGCGAGCAAATTGCTCTAGTAGGGGTTGGGCGGCAGCAACGTTCAATAGACCATTCCCGTGCAGGATGGAAGGACAAGGCAAAGTCGCCCACAGATCCATTGCAGAAGTAGTTTGTAATTGATAGGACACAGCACTTGAATTCACTGCTGTAAACCAGTCTTCAAAAATAGAAGACTGACTCCGCAACAAATCCAAGAAACTCCCATAAGGAGTACCATGTCCACTCAAAGAATTCTTGAAGTCCTCGAAAGAAATAGAAGTTGGCTAATAAAGGCCCACCGGGGCACCGCATCCATCAGGAATCAGAAGGACCTTGGAAAAGTCCCCAACCAGCATTGCAGGCTTTGTCGCTTGAACAAAATCCCGCTGCGACGCTGGCATTTCCAACCGTGTTCGCCCACTGAGGGAAACCACCAGACTATGAGTAGGGACACTCATATCGCCTTGCCAGTATTGCTGGATCAAAGTGGGCTCAAAGCAATCAGACCACTTTGGGGCCCCGCGATGGACAGCATCTTGCCCATTGAAAGTAGTCCTAACAGGACTAGCGCCAAAACCAATAACCGGAGGAGAATTCGGAGTAAAAAAATACTCCAAGGACTGCTCTGACGCGAGACGAGTTCAAGAGCCGCAACTTGTCTATAGCGAGCATCTGAGGTGCATTAAAACGGATAGCATCAGCAGAAATGGTCTCTGCTGTCACTGATTCCTTGCGACCCCGACCATAGACCGAATAGGGCTTACCAGTAGGAACAGCAAACCCAAAGGACGCTTGAATTTCCGATTTCTTTGGTCTCTTCTTGTCATGGATCGCTTGGTGAATTGAATCATCTGAAAAGCAGATGCTGACAGAAGAGAGAAACTGAGTTCCCATCTGGGGACTTTCAGGACCAAGTAACTTGGGGAAGGGTGTTATTTTTTGAAGGATGAGGACAGGGGCACAGAACACGTTTTTGTTGTTTCAACAATGCCTCGGAGCGGTGGAAGGCGAATAGAGGATCAAGACAATCCGATCAGCTCTTATAGGAGGGATGTTGGGAAGTTGTTCGCTGCACGTCACGCTGGCCGATCGCAATGAATGAGGGCGGCATGGAAGGAGGTCGAGTTTTTCGTTCGCTTGCAGACAAAGGCTGGGTACCAAGAGAAAAATTGAATTACCACAACACAAGTGGGTGAATTCAATATCAGTAGATAAACTGGGCATCATTGCCTCGGCGCATCGACAACAACTTTTGACGGTCAAAGGCCGTTCGGCCTTCGTAGGAGATTGATTAACATTATGTATTATGTGGCTGTTTGCAACCCAATACGCTATTGTCAAAAGGAAAAGGAAATAGAGGATCGCTCCTGCGAAAGCTCCACCCTTGCAATCCGTTTCGAAAGGTGATTCTGCTATGACGAGCGAGAGTATACTAAAAACCAAAGTTTGTTGTGGGATTTTAATTTGTACGCTAAGAACAATGTGCAAGGAAGGACGATCAAAGCCAATGATACAGGTGATTGAAATCACAATCAACCACTTTTAAATCATTCGATACGATTTTTTTCTTTTTCAAATGGATATTGGATAGTAGGGCTCTACAGTTCCATCAATTCTTTTCACTTTTCATCCCGCAGCACCTTGAACAGCGTCATCAAGGCGTCACAACGTCCCATGCACGCAACTGTTTTCCGCGACAGTTCTTTCCGCTTTGATCTCAACTCCTGCACCTTGCGAGCGCTGGAATCGACATTTGAAAGGAGGATTCCGTCTACTCGAGCTGCAATCTTGTCAAGTTTGTGGCTAATTTCGCCAAGGACTTTTTCCAATTCAGGATAATTTCTCATCCACAAAAGTAAAAGGCTCCGTTTGGTGCTCTTATCACCTCCGTCTAGTACTTCAGCCTCTGCCCGTTGTCGGGCACTCTCAATTTCATCAAGAAGATTTTCTTCTTTCTTGAGAGATGACTCCGTCACGACCACTAACTTCGAGTATTCGAGAATTGGTGAGTTCGGAAAAGGGTCCCCAAGCCAAATCTGAGACAAGAATACCACGTGATACGCAATCAACAATTAGACCAGTTCCATGACATGAAAATGTTGTATTCAAATTGCACAACCTACGAGATTCAAGGTACCTTCACAACCGTACTGGTAAAACGAGCGAGCTACATGGTAGAGTACATATGACGATCCTGCAAACGAAAGCGTCCCCAAAATGATTGTCGAGAATTGTGCCTTTATTTGCATCATTTTCGTTGTGTGCAGTTTTATTTGATTTTACGAAATAACTGTCTCGACCAATCGGAATCAT